GGCGAGGTCCCCCCGCCTATCCCAGCTCCAAAATCCTCCAGGAACCCCCCATCTCTGTACACACACATACAGCATGAGCCCCCACATCCCCATCCTCTTGCACCCTCTCACCCCCAAGAGGCCCCAAGCCAACATGACTCCCAGCTCATGTTGTCCATGGCACCTTCCAGCTCCTGTCTCATGCCCACGGATCTCCTTCTACTGACCCCCAGGTCCACGAGCCCCCTAACCCCATCTACACGGCCCCTGGGCCACATCCTCCATGAGACCTTTGTCTCCATGACCCCCAAGCCACATCCTTCGCTGCCTTCCCCCTTGCGCCTCGCTCCATCTCCTTTAGGCTCACGGCCTGGAAGGGGACCTCCCTCTTGAGAAAAAATTGGCGCTGTTTTTCAGAGAGCTGTACAGCACTTGCTCTCCCTGCCGCCCAACGCCCTTCCCAATGCTGAGTCAGCAACAGTCACTGCCTCACTGCCTGGGCAAGACGGGTGGCTCACAGACAGGGCAACCGAGGCACAAGGCACTGAAGTGACGTGCCCTGGTTCACATAGCAAGTCCCCTCAGGACTACAGCCAAGCTCTCCTCATCCCCACCTCGGGGTCCTACCCATTGGGCCGTGTGGCCGTATTCTTCCTTCTTTAGGATTTAGCTTAACAAGTTTGGACTTCCAATTCTGTCCCCGATTAAAAACTAAATCTCCGAAGCATTGAGGACACCGAGGCTTGTCTTTCTTCTTTGTGAGGGTGGTGTCCCCCGCCGGGGACCCTCGGAAGTGCAGTGGGAGCCTTCTCAGCCCTCCCTGGGTAGGACAGGGGGCTAGCACTTTTCCAGAGAGAGCTTTTCTCCTGCCTGCGTGCATGGTGCTGGGGTGACATTGGGGTGGGGTAGAACCACAAGCTCAAAAGTGAGGCTCAAAGTCCCGTTTCAAAGTGCTCAGGGTTTCGCTCTTTCTATTTCTGTGATGCCGGGATCAGATTAGTTCTCCTCTGAGTCCTCTGGGCACACCAGGGAAGCCACGTGAAAAACGGGAGAAACTGAATTCAACACACACTTTCCAGGTCATCTGTATCCACATCAAAAAGAAGCCAAAGCAAGCACAAATACATTTCCCCTGGCAGGTCACCATTAAGACTCAGGCCTACTCTCCTCCCTCCCTTCTCCTTACACCCAGCCTCTCTTCCACCCCTGGAACATAGCAGCGAGGTGCAGACACTTTTCTGGCTGCTTTCTTCATGCCACGCCCAAGGGTGCATCGGTGGTGGGCACACTGAGATTGGGGTCAGCACTGAAGCAGCAGGCTGTGGACAGTCCAGACTGTGCTGCTCAGGGGAAAACCCCCTATCCCTTTCCAAAGGTCAGCAGATGGCACCTGGCTTGACTTTCCTCTCCCCTACTCTGCCGTCAATTGGGACGATTCTCCCGAAGCCAGCAGGTTTAGGCCATTCACATTGTGTTAGGGGAGTGGGATGCACAGTAACTCTTGTGCACCAGCTCTTGCACTGTGGGTGCTGGCTAGGTAAGGCTTTGCCACCCTCTCAGGCTTGCTGAAGGCATTAGACTAGGGTTTCCCAAACTTTTCCATCCCCAGCGCCCCTACGGGGTCCTGAAAACTTGACGGAGCCCTTAAAATAACGGGTTTTTTTTAATTCACTAGGGACCCAAATAAATAAAGTTTGGCAGTTCTATTTTTATTTCTTGTAGATTTCTTATACATACTTTTTCCTTTCAAGAAAACGATTCAAAATTAGTAACAAAACAACCACCATCATTAACGTTTTCACGGAGAGCCTAGCTCTTGGGGTACACAGAGCAGACTCTGGGAAGCCCTGCATTCAGCTCATCTAAGCTATGTCTACACTACAGGGTTTTTATGAAAAAACTTCACCTGCGTCTAGACTGATGCCGCGTTCTTTCGAAATTAAATCGAAAGAACCTGGCAGTTTTTTCGATAGCGGTAAACCTCATTTTACAAGGAAGAACACCTTCTTTTGAAAGAGCTCTTTCGAAAAAAGGTGTTCTTGATTGCAAACAGGGCTTTTTCAAAAGAGAGCATCCATATTGCCTGGGCGCTCTCTTTCGAAAAAGCGGATTGCTTTTTCGAAAAAAGTTGTGGCTGTCTAGACGATCTCTTTTGAAAGAAGCATATAGTCTAGACATACCCTGAAAAGAATCTGAGCTATAGTCACATGCTGGTGTAAAACCCAGCAGGATTGAACCGGGACGTCTGGAGCTCAGTGCACGAGTCTACTGCTGTCAGCTAAGGCTGTAGAGCAAACTCCTTCTCTCTGTAAGTGGTCTCAGTGCCACCTGTAGTTGTGTGGGTTACACCTGCACTGAACGTTCCTAAAATCCAAGGGTACCAGAATTGGGTTTGGCCCATCACGGAGCCAGTGCTGGGCTTAGGCTACGATCAGCACCTATCGGGGCAAGCAGAGACTGGAGGGAATTGAGTGGCACTACAGCAGTATTTTGTAAACTGTGTTCTATGGCACACAGAACAGGTAGTCGGAGGTGTGCCGCAGAGAACAGAATTCAAAATGGCCGCCCTTAAAGGGGCAGGTGACCTTTTTTTTTCCTCAATAACTTTTTCCCCGACCCTTTTTCCCCCCGGCCTTTTTTTTTTGATCAACAAAAAATCCCTGGTGTTCCTCATAATAAAAAATTATTGTTTGATGTTCCTCGGTCTTAAAAAGTTTAAGAAACACTACACTAAAGCAACCTGGCTTCCTTCATACTGAGTAGCTTGTGAGATGGGGGATGGGGAAAGTCTAGCATGGGACATGGCTCTCGATGTCCCCCAACACGGAGGCATTTCCTGTCCTTTCCATACTTACCTGTGAAGTTAACCCTCCCTGCATGGGTTGTGCGAATTGAATTATAAAGTGTGTTTAACACACACACACACACACACACACACACACACACACACACACACACACACACACACGCCTCTTTTCCAAAAAAGCCACTGACACATACACACACCCTCCTTGTGCAGAAAAGCCACTGTGACATTGTGAAACACCCACATCCACCCCTCCTTGTGCAGAAAAGCCACTGTGACATTGTGAAACACCAACACCCACCCATATCCACCCCAACTTGTGCAGAAAAACCACTGTGACACACTCACACACACACACACACTGCTTGTGCAGAAAAG